CCGCCCAAGGGACCAATCACTTGCGGCAGGGGGATTTCCTGTCCCTTAGTGACGTGTAGCTGCAGGATGGGGAATGCCCCAGTTGCAACTGACCCTGGAGTGAGGTGTATCAGTCTCAGTTTTGTGCAAGCTTGGTTCGCGCTGAGATCCCAGGCATCACTAGTTAAGAGAACTCCACTCATACTGGAATTGTGTTCTAAATTATTGGGTCCTCATGCAAGATAGCACTGCTAGGTTAGCCCCCTGAGAGCTTGTGAATCGAATGACATTCCTGTAACTGCTGCAATATATATTATATGTAGTGTCAGTTGAATGAATACCGTTTAGGCTGGTTGTATGGGTATGGACCACGGTTAGGGATGACATGAGGCTCCACAATTAATGTAAGTGGTTCCTCTTGTACAGTTTCTTCATCACTGCCTTCTTTTCTCTTCTTTCCTTTTCCACCATATACAGGAAAAGTAATCCTAGAAAAGAACAGACAGATTTCAAAGAAAGGAATAAGAAATGGAATAACCCCAAAAATGTACAACAAACTAAAAATTGTCTCAGAAATTACATAGCAACCTGTCAATTGTGAACTGGAAACAGTCACGTGGACAATTAAAGTCTGACTTATTGCCAGGAGCTACCTTATAAATAACATCTACAGAGAGCTCTGAGGTACCTGAATGGGGCTTTGTGCAGAGATGGATCTTCCACTGTCACCTTCACCTGGTGCTCGGGGAAACAAGCCTTCAGATGGTCCAGACTCAAAAAAGTGTCATTAAAATCCAGAGTTGGAATCTGATTGGGCATCTTTGAGTAATGTGCACTTCCTGGATCTCCATATCCTAAAATAATGTCATGCAGCCAGTCGGGCACTACACAGTCTGTATTCATCAGTTTCCGGATTGTCTCTAGTACTGCCTGAAAAATACATTTTTAAAACATTTACCAGAGCAGTATAAAGAACAAGGAGAGAATAAAGGGTATAAGCAGTCAAATGCAGGCTCATGCAACCACATAAACATTAGGAATTGGTGACCGGATCCATGTTTCACTTTACCATGCCAATGCTAGCTGGGATTTAATCAGTTCAAAGAACATTAATCATCTCACCAAAAGTGTTTGAAGGTAGAATTATTTTATTTATTTGCTTACAGCTGATTAAGATTGCTCTAGTTTTCTGTCCCTGGCTGGTAGATGCAACAATAGCTCCTGTTTTTCCAGATACCTTGAATCACGATATGAATATTACACCCGGTGTAATATTTATACATTGCTTTTAGATAAAAGATTGATGGGGTTTTTTTTACGAAATATCAATGCTGATGAATATATTCACATTTTGGGGGATTAGAGGATAGCAGGTGGGAGCGCAGATTGTTGATTATTTATTATTTTACCTTCAATCATGAGTCCCAGTCTGTCTGTGTTTGGGGTGGATTTGCTAAGCAAACTATTTTGGTGTCAGTATTCCAGACAACGCCATGGAGTCAGTATTTTCTGGACAACGCCATGGAGTCAGTATTTTCCGGACAACGCCATGGAGTCAGTATTCCGGACAACGCCATGGAGTCAGTATTTTCCGGACAACGCCATGGAGTCAGTATTCCGGACAACGCCATGGAGTCAGTATTCTGCAAAACGCCATGGAGTCAGTATTTTG